ACATACCCTAGAATTATTAATGAATAATTATTCAATTAATCAAATTTGTTTTGATTAAAATAAATTGTTGTTGGGCTTTGGGCCGAAATAAAACATATATTGATATCCAATATCACAATCTGGATAAATCTTATAGAGATAAATCCAACATGTTGATTTATTGTGTGATCTTGATTGGGAACCTGAGTACAAACCCAAATTAAGAATAAATGAAGAAATTGTTTATAATGTGAACTTTGAAATGATTTATTGAAATAAATCATGGGAATAAATAATATGAATTAAATGTGAGAACCTTTTTAAATAAAGGCCAATTTTGACTCTGTCAAAGTCAACCACCCAAAAATATGATGTCGGAAAAAGTATAACGAATAAATATAAAAATTATATCGTTGGATAGAGTTTAATTGCACGATCGCAACGGCGCAAACGGAATTAAATTCAGAGAAAGTTGGACCAAAAAGTGTACCCCGACTGGGACTAAAATTAGTCCCAATCAGGGACGGCGCCTCCTACTCCACTCAGCCGATCGAAGATACGTTCCTACGCAAATCCTACGCAGCATTGTTTTGTTTCTTCCTCCATTCCTTCCCTATATAAGACCACCTTCACTCCCTCAATTCTCCATCATTTCTCACAATTCTCATATCAATTCTGTTGCTGGGAGTGAGGAGAACGCAGTGGTGCTATCATATTGGTGAAAGGTCGCCGGAGTTCGGAGTAATTGTCGCCGGAAGTTTCGCCGGAAAATATTCAAAACCTTCATTTACCTTCGAGGTAAGCCCGTAGATATATCTAATGACTAGAATGTTCATATAGGTCATTTCTACGTTCATAAATGGTCATTTGGTTGAGTTTTGTGTTTGACATGTTTGAAGAACCAAGAATCATAAACCTTGAATTTGATGTTAAAAATATGTTTTAATAATTCTAATATGATCTATGAACCTTGGAGAACATCTCTATATAGTTTAATCGAAGTTCGGTGACTAAAAATGGTTTTCCCGAAAAATGAACCGAGGTTGAAGACGAATGAACAGTGGCTGAAAATCCACAGAGTGGATCGATCCCCTTCACTAGATCGATCCTCTGGGAGTTTTTCTTTTAGTTGGATCGATCCAGAGGGCTGGATCGATCTTCCGAAACTCTGGTCCGAAAATTTGTCTGAAATTGCTATTTTTGAGCTCTAAAATCCTATTTTTGATACCAATTGATTATGATTATTATAAAAATGATTTTTCACAACAAAAATGATGTTTTTAACAAATTAAAACATTATTTGATGCATGACGGTAAGTTCGGGTGTTAACACTCGAGACTAGGCCGCTAATTGTTATTAAATGTTATGTTAAATGATTATTATGATGAACTATTATTGTGGCCAATTATGAATGATTAACCTACTGATTGGTATGATTATTGATTAAATCATGATTAAAAATGGATATAATGATGATTATGAAATTGATGTATATTATTAAGGATATCTAGAAGAACTCTAAGATATACCCACTTGTATAATGATGATGATTATTAAGGATATCTAGAAGAACTCTATGATATACCTCCTTGACCAATTCATATTTCGGGGTTAAAACGTACGTACGGGATCCAGAACGGATATCACCCACCCGACAGTTCACTGTTCGGTTGGTACGTAATCCACATGACTCATAGGGTGGATTATCGATTCTTGTGTTCTGCATTAAACTATTTATAGTTTAAGGGCCTGGTTAGAAATGTTGCCTTAGACTAGGGATAGCTAAGAGCTTGTTATAAAATGATTTGGCCTTAGATTAAGAATAATTTAAGAGCATGGTTGAGATATTGAATATCAAATGACTTGGAATAAAATATTGAGAATATCATGAATGTTTGAATCATATATTGTGTGCATGATATCAAATGGTTGATTATGAATTGAGATTCAATTTATTTGGATGTTCGACGTTTTAGATATGCTTACTCAGCTTCACCGCTGAGAGTGTAGTATGTTTTATTTGCTACACGCAGGTAAACAGAAAGATTAATGTGATCCTGGCGGCAGATGGGGCGAGATTGTCGGGATGGATGTGACAAGTTTTGAAATGATTTATGATATGTCAATAATAAATTCGCTTCCGCAATATTGTTAAATACTCCGTACTGTATATGTTATGAAAAATATTATTGAGATTAATAAAGTGTGTTTGAAAAGTTTTAAATTTTACGATTACCAAGTTAAATACTTTAGTCCGAAAGGGGCTGCAGACCTGGACGGATTAGGGTGTTACAATATATATATATATATATATATATATATATATATATATATATATATATATATATATGTATGTATGTATGTATGTATGTATATATATATATATATAATATATGATAACACCGAAATATATATATATAAATATATTATATGTTGAATATTTTATTTTGGTTTGTCATTTTAATTTTGAAAATAATTATTTTGACATAAACTATTTAAAGTATATTTGTATACTTGTTTAAAAATGATATTGGTATTTTTATTTGATTTAAAATTAATTTTATATTAATTTTTGGTGTCAAATAAAATACACTTTGAACATTTAAGTGGAGTAGATTTTCAAGAATCCTTCTCACTTTTTCAAATCAATTGTTCGGCCATGATATCTTTTAAAGGAACAAAAATTTCCTTGATTGATAATTGAGTGGAGCTAACTATTTTGTCATTTTGTTAATGACAAAGTCAAATTCATAATCACTTTTTCTCCTTAAATATACTCCACACCATTCCATTTATTATTTTGTGTAGTGTTTTATTCGGCCATTGCTTTTTCAAGAGAGAGTGAAATATTATTTTGGTTTCATGTATATCATTTTGTGTATAGAAAATATCTATAATATTTTCTAAATATTATTGGAAATATTTTCTATAGAAGTATACAAGATTATTATTATCCCAAATTTTAATCTTTATATTTTATACTACTATAATCTTTACTAGCATAAAGATTGTGGTAGACTCTGGCGTTGTTCGTGTGTCAAAGTTGGAGACCGGACGCATGAACGGTTACGTTTGCACTTTCAACGCTCTTCCTACGGCTTCTTCGTTTTTACCGCTTACGGAGAAAGGTATAAATTTCTTACTTACTATAAGTTTTAGTACGTGATTCTGGGTAAGATAATCATGTTAGGATGTTAAAATTTTTATTTTCCGCTGCCTATCCTTGCATGATTACCTTTTAAAATCAAGATTAAATGAATAATTTATTTATGATATAAACTTTGAAATGATTTATTGAAATAAATCATTAGAATAAGTAATATGAATTAAATGAGAGAACCTTTTTGAATAAAGGTCAACTAAATTAACTTAGATTTTGTCAAAGTCAACCACCCAACGGAATAAATATAATAGTTATATTGTTGGATAGAGTTTAACTGTCTGATCGCGACGGTGCAATTCAAATGGAATTCAATTTGGAGAAAGTTGGACAAAAAAGTGTATCCCGACTGGGACCGAAATTAGTCCCAATTAGACCCTGGCAATCGGGTCAATCGGTTCGGTTCCGGTTCGGGTCTTTTCGGTTCGGATCTCTTTCGGATATATGTTATAATCGGTTTGGGCCGGTTCGGGTCAGTTCGGTTCTGGGTTTATTTCGGTTTGATTGGTTTTCGGTTTCGGTTCAGTTTCGGTTCGGGTTTATATCGGTTCGGGTTTGTATCGGTTCGGGTTTATATCGGTTCGGGTTTGTATCGGTTCGTGTTTATATCAGTTCAGGTTTGTATCAATTCGGGTTGTATAAATTTGGGTTTATATAGATTTGAGTTTATATTAGTTCAAGTATAATGTAAACACATACTAATAAATGAATAATATCACATAATAAATTTAGTTAATTTAGTTAACTATAATTTTTATATACTTTCTATAAAAAAATACAAAAATATTTTAACTTAAGTTATAAAATACAAAGTAAAAGATTTGTACATGAAAGTAGTTACATGGTTTGCACACATAATTTAAATATATTTTTTTAGAAACACATCAACATATGTAAAAATACATAGGTAATTCGTTTTCTCCAAATTCATTTGATAAATGAAATATTAATGAATTTGATCAATTTCGGGTCTAATCGGTTTCGGGTCTAATCGGTTCAGGTTTAACCGGGTTCGGGTTTAATCGGTTCGGGTTTAATCAGTTTGGGTTTAATTGGATTTGGGTCTGAATCGGGTCTGAATACATTCGGTTCGGGTTTGGTTCAGTTTGGATCATTTCGGGTGTTCGGTTCTATTTCAGTTCTTTAGTTTTCGGGTCAATTCGGGTTTAGTTTCGGGTTATTCGGTTCGGGTTATCGGGTCTGGGTTAGTTTTGCTAGGTCTAGTCCCAATCAAAGAGTAATGTCCTGAATCTCCTTAAGTCACACTATTGCCGAAAGAAGAACGTGAACTTCCTACGCAGCATCTACTCAGACTTTGTTTCCTTCTTTCTCATCTTCCCTATATAAGGAGAGAGCTAAACTCTGATTTCAACACCATTCTCTCTACATCTTCTCCTATTGTGTTCTTGAGAGTGTAAGGAATACTCTGATACGTACTGTCAATTTGGTGTGAAGTCGCCGGAGCTAAGAGTAATCCTCGCCAGAAGTTTCGCCGGAAAATTTCCAAAACCTTCATTAAGCTTCGAGGTAAGCACGTAGATATATCTAGTGACTAGAATGTTTGTATAGATCATTTCTGCATTCATAAATGGTTATTTGGTTGAGTTTTGTGTTTGACATGCTTGATGAACTAAGAATCATAAACCTTGAATTTGATGTTAAAATTATGAACTAATGATTCCAAAAAGTTCTATGAACCTTGGAGAACATTTCTATATAGTTTAATTGAAGTTCGTTAACTAAAAATGGTATTTTTGAGATTGGACCCGAAACGAGGAAGACGATGAACAGTGGCTGAAGAACCATAGGGTGGATCGATCCACCCTCCTAGATCGATCACATGAAGGAGTTCTTTTATGGAGGATCGATCCAAAGTGCTGGATCGATCCCCCGACCTATTTTCTCCGAAAATACTTCGGAAAATGTTATTTTTGAACCCAAAAATCCTATTTTTGATACTAATCTTGAAAATGTTATTTTTGAGCCCAAATATTGAACTAGATTCAAAATCAATGGATTGATGAAGAATGAGTTGTATTGTTAAGGCTATCTAGAAGAACTCTAAGATAAACCTCAAATTAGAATGGGCCTTGCGGGTATAAATATGTATATTCGGTGGCCTTGGGTAATAATGTACATACGGGGTCCATAAACCAAACTTCAGGATCACTCGTTTGGGGATACCACCCAACCCGACAGTTAGTATTCTACTGTTCAGTTTTCTGGATTGTACCTTAAGCGAAGGCTAGCTTAAGAGTTTTTTTAGAGGTACCTTACACTAGAATTAGTTTAAGAGTTGGTAAATAATATAAGTGATTGACCTTAGACTAGGAATAGTTTAAAGATACTCTGTTGTATATGAATGTTGGATCTTTAATAATGAATATTGATGAATGTTATGTGCATGATATCAAATGATTTAATTATGAATTGAGATTCAATTTATATGGATGTTCTATGCATTGGATATGCTTACTCAGCTTTACCGCTGAGCGTGTAGTGTGTTTTATTTGCTACATGCAGGTAGACAGAATGAATGAAGTGATTGTTCCAGGTGGCAGACGGGGGCGAGACGGTCGTGATGGATGTGTGGTTTAAATAATTAATTGTGAATGTCATGTGACATGTTTTAAATTTGCTTTCGCAACATGATTAAACACTTCGTATTTCAACAGTTCTATATTGAATATTATTTATGATAAATAAAGATGTTTTAAATGTTTAAAATTTTTACGATTTCCAAGTTAATACTTTAGTCTGAAAGGGGCTATAAACCTGGACGGATTAGGGTGTTACACACCCCTCTCATGTACTGCGCCATTCGTCCCTCTCTAGCCTTCATCGTCCCGATGATTTTCCCTACAATAAGGCTGGAGTCTAACTTGATACACACTCAATCGGGTGATCTTCAGACTCGCCTGGCGAAGTCCCTTAAATAGGGCTTTGTACTCCGCTTTGTTGTTCATCAACTAAAAGTTAAAAATGATTGTATGGTTTATCTTGAACCCTTCCAGGGTGGTGAACACCACTCCACCCCCACATCCTCTAGGTCCCGACGCCCCATCAACCACCATCTCCCACCACTACTATATGGGTAGGGCGGTCGGTTGATCTACTTAAAACCCGATCATCTCTACCGGGAAATATGCCAAGGCTTGCTCCTTGGTTGCCAACCTCGGTCTATACTCGATGTTGAAGTGCGTTAGCATCATTGCCTATTTGACAATCCTTCCAGAGGATGTCAAATTTCTTAGGAACACACCTAGAGGCTAGTTGGTAAGGACTTCGATAGCGTGGGATTGGAAGTATGATGTTAGCTTTTTGGAGGTAATGAAAAGTGTGTATGCTATTTTCTCGATAGTCGTATAACGACTCTCGGGCCCGTTAAGTCTTTTGCTCGCGTAACAAATAGGCTTTGGTGCCCCATCATCTCTTATTAAAACCGAACTTAAGGCATGGGGGAAATTCCCATATAAAAGTACAGAGTTTCACCAGGTTCTAGTTTTGACAACAAGATATCTGATACAAGATAGGCCTTCAGGTCTTCAAAAGCCTTCTAGCATTCCTCGTCCCATGCGAAAGCACTGGCCTTCTTCAGCACCACTACTACACACCGCACTTTAGGGAGCACATAATGAAATTTCATTGTCTAAAGATTATAAAATAGGGTACTATGCTAAAATTCCGTTTGGAGCGCATAAGATGTTTTTGTCAGGCACTACTCCCAGCAGATATCTACAATATCCCTATTTAAACAATGCTTGGTTTCTAACCTCATTTAGGCTTTGTTCCGTTCAACTTATTTTTGCTAATCTGATTTGATTTTAATAAGTTTTCATCTGATGTGATCTGATCTGATTGGATCTGATCTGATCTAATTGGATCTGATCTGATTGGATCTGATCTGATCTGATCTGATTGGATCTGATCTGATCTGATTGCATCTAATCTGATCTGATCTGATCTGATCTGATTAATTATGATTTAATTTAAAATTTCAAATCAATAATTTGATTTGACTTTATAATAACGTTTGAAAATTGTAATGATAATTCATATTATAATATAATCAATATTTTTTATTTAATGATTATTTTTTAATAAAATAAAAATAGTTAATTCATATATTAGAATAATCATTCATATTATAATGTAATAATATTTTATTTTATGATTATTTTTTTGTGAAATTAGAATATTAATTTAATATTTTAATAATTACTGCATATATACATTAGAATAAATATTTAATTTAGATATACATTAAAAAGTAATTAAATTTATATAATCAATATATAGAAGAGATAGTATTTTTATTAAAATATCTCATCCTTATAAAAGATCAAAACTTTAGAAACTCAAATTACAAGTAACAATAAAATTATATTTTAAAAGTAGAATTAGATTGACATTGTCAATGTATTTTAAAACTAATTTTTCCGACGTCTAATAATTAAGGATTACTTTCTTAGTTTTCTATTTAACCTATTTCTAAAGTTTATTCTTTTTCATTTTTAAGAACAATAATAATTATAATGATGATGATGATGATGATGGTGATGGTGATGGTGATAATAATAATAATAACAACAGCAACAACTAATAATAATAATAATAATAATAATTCTTGATGGGATCTGATTTTAATAAGTCCCGATCTGATCTGATCTAATTGGATCTGATCTGATTTGATTGGATCTGATCTGATTCGATCTGATCTGATCTGGTATGATCTGATTTTAATAAGAATAAGAAAAAATAAAAAAAATAAATTGAAAGGAACTAGGCTTTACTCCCTCATCTCTTTAATTTTATGATTGCTCCAAACTAGGCGACAAGAGCAGAAAGTGAATAACACTTGATCGAGGTAGGCTTTTTTGTCTTTTTTTCCAATTATGGCTTGATTTTTTTTGAATTTAGGGATTTAATTTCTTTTTAATTTTATGTTAATGGATTTATTAGGTCTTGATTATAGATTTAGATTTTTAAGTTCAAGGATTCAATATAATTTTGAGTTTAGGGATTTAAATTATTTTCTATTAATCTTAAAAGCAATTTAGAAGTTTGATTTTGATAATTTTGATTTTGAATTTGTTTGGATTGGTATATAGATTTAGGTTCTAAATTGTTGTTAGTCTTATATACATAGTAACTTAGATGGATGATATATAGTTTAGTTTTAGTTGTGTTGTGGGAAAACTTTATTAGTTCAAAAGTGGTTATCTTTGATTCTATTGTATGTCAAATACTCTGTAGAATTAGAGTTAAAACTTCAAAATTTTGTAACGAAGTGAAATCTAGAAAATCACTCTATATAGTTTGGTTTGTGTTGTGGGAGTAGAAAAATTTAGTCCTCCACTGATTTTTTATATGAGAAACTTAATGCATGTTTTTCTTAGAGAAATATTGTTATTAGAGCTTGTACATGCATAATGATTATATCTTTCTCTCGGGCATTTTCAGAATCGGAGCATGTTATTTGATTTGATGTTCAAAAGAAAGCTCATTACTCCTTTTAAGCATAGCTCCCTTATGCTATTAAATATTAAAGTTCTACTTTGGCATTTTTAATATTTCTAGGGTCCGTAACTTCTATATGCAAATCCAAAGTTTACACTTGATCAACCCTTGTCTGAACCAATTAAGTCCATCTTTTTCTAGTCTTGTTAATTGTTATTGATAGGGGAGACTGATCCACCCATTAATACAGTAAACTCGGCTATGACCTTGAATCTTTTCTGATCCACCTACATATATAGAACATAACTAGAGTTTTGTATTTATATAATGTTTGGGATCTTCACCTTCAACCTGTCTATTTTTTAGTTCTCATTTGAAACCAAGCAGGTGAAGTAGGCCTTTCATATAGATCAGCGTCATTGATTGGTTTACAGCAGCTTTTGTTTTTCCAAATAATCAGACATAATTTGGATAGACTTTTCATTATGCAATATGCATCTTCTAGTTAATTTAGATTGGTTGTCTTTTCTTGGGCTGGCTATCATGGGTAAGAGGTTGGTGCTAGATTTACAACAATTTACAAGTTTGTTAGAAGATAATTCTAGTAAGTTGTGTTCATATTAAACATGGACACAATTATATGTTCTTAAAAGTTTGATTGATTTTAAGACTTTTGCTTTATTGACCTTTACAGTTGTCTGCATAAGAGCATGAGAAAGGCATTTTCTTGTTTTAGCTAGTGGAGGCTATCTCGTTCCTTCTCACTACAATTTCTTTACAAAGACACAAGGAATTGCCAACTACATGTTGGGCTTTGGCTTCTTTGAGCATTTGGAGTCCATAACTTAATTGACTAAAAGGATGTACATGTACTAGTAATTTTAGCTTGGGAACGTTTGGATTGGTCTAAATTAAACCTATTTTCATCTAGGAATAAAGTAATGTTGGTCAATGTTTTTTATATTTTGTAGCAGTAGTGATTTGAAATTTTTTGTATATCATTATGGGTTTGGTTTAGTCGTCATGTTTGAGTTAAGACTCAGGACCACCGCATCTTGGATGTACTTTACATTTCTTAGTAATAAAATTATTCTTTTCATGTATGTGTGTGTATGTCCAGTAAAATGACACCTTAAGGTGAGATGACATGCTTCGGTGAGATGACGCTAAGCTCACCACATTACACTACAAAGCTCACCAATGGCTAATGTAAAGCTCACCTGGAAATAAAGCAAAGCTCACCACTTTGAACACCAAAACTCACTTTTTTTTTTAATTTTGAAAATTAAAAAATTAATTAAAAAAATAGCAACACCGGTCAACCACCGGTCAGCAGCGCGACCGACGACAAGCATGGTGAGCTATCCCTATATATATAGACTGACAAACCCTCCAAACGTCACTCTTCCCCTTCCACGAGCTTTAAGGGATTGTGCACATCTCCTAGCATGTGTTAACAACTCTTCCCATATGTCTTCACCCCATGGAATTTATTGAATGCATCCAAATTATCCACTAGGTTAATGTATCCAATAGGAAAAGTAGCACATGACTGGTGCCCAACATTGCCCAACAGATGCAGCAATGCTAGCTTTAAAACATCATCACTTTATACTCCAGGGTCATCTCTGTTGTGCTGCAGCAGTGCATCCGTAATATGACATCGCTGAACAGATTTTCCCGTATTGAAATACCTTAACCCGAAGCCATCCAACCTTTCATCATTCAAACTTATCCTATTCCCTCCGCTTTCCACTCCTGTGATAAGTTCAAATTCTGACTTTGTGAACAAGACTTTTCTCCCCTTTATTTTGAACTTCATTTCTTTACATCTAGTTATTCCTTGCTTTGGCAACTTGTACCTTTCTAACAGACCAACTAAAAGCCCATTACTAATCCATCTAACTTCAGGAACATCCAACAATTTTCTAAAAACCGTGCCTCTAAAGACTTTAAGCTCCTCATTTCTCAACACGCCTTTAATTCTACGTATGGTCTCAAGCACATTACAATAAGTGTTAATTCTTCCATCTTTAGACTGTGCTCTATCACCTTTCTTCACAAATTTACGTGATACCTTTATATTAAAAGATTGTTTAAAACAACAATAAGTCACAATGCAATCCCTCACAACAAGACCATAGGTCTACTGGAAAAACTCAATTGGACAACGAAAATAAGTCACAATGCAATCCCTCACAGCATGACCATGCATCTACTGGAAAAACGCAGTTAAACAACGAAAATAAGTTACAATGCAATCTCTCACAACATGACCATGCATCTACTGGAAAAACTTAATTGAACAACAAAACTATGTCACAATGCGACCCCTCACAACATGACCATGCATCTACTGGAAAAAAGCAATTGAACAACAATGATAACTCACAATGCAATCCCTCACAACAAGACCATGCATGTACTGGAACAACTCAATTGAACAACAAAACTGGGTCACAATGCAATCTCTCACAACAAGACCATGCATGTACTGGAAAAGCGCAGTTCAACAACAAAGTTAAGTCACAATGCAATCCCTCACAACAAGACCATAGGTCTACTGGAAAAACTCAATTGAACAACGAAAATAAGTCACAATGCAAACCCTCACAACATGACCATGCATCTACTGGAAAAACTCAATTGAACAACAAAACTAGGTCACAATGCGACCCCTCACAACATCACCATGCATTTACTGGAAAAACGCAATTGAACAACAAAACTAGGTCACAATGCAATCCCTCACAACAAGACCATGCATGTACTGGAACAACTCAATTGAACAACAAAACTAGGTCACAATGCGATCTCACAATGCAATTGAACAACAACGAAACCTTAGATTCGGAAACTAAGATTTATCCGATCGAGTGTCTTCTTCGTCCGTCATCTTCTCCGCTTAAGTCACAATGCGAAGTAGATGAATCGGGAAGTAGGTGAATTGGGAAGCAAATGAATTGTGAAGCAGAGGAATTGGGAAGCAAGTGATTTTATTTTTCTCGGCGCTCTGATCGAAGAAGGTAATTATAATTTTACAAGTAATTGGATTGGTTTTGACGGCTAACTGTAACAACGACACGTTATGATGGCTAACTACTACTCCTATAGGTGGGATATAATCTTCCCACCCCTATTTTAGGCTTTTATGATTGTTACCCAAGATTTTTCTAAAAAGAAATGAAAGAGACCATCTCATTCTAGATATTCCTTACTACCCACTTTAGTTTTTGGGAGGGCTGATCTACGAGAATGGTGGTGTCTTCCTCTCCGGCTTCTCATTCAGAGAAAGAACTTGAGGAGGAGCTAATAGATTATGGTATTAGACTAATTGCACACCCTTCCGATGAGCTTCTTAGCATCCTTGACGTAAGGCTTCAATTTTCATGTATTCTATGTATGAAGGCTCAATTTTTTTATTTGTTTTGTGTTGCGTAGATGGAAAATTTCAAGTTTTGTTTCCTAATTGTTTGCAGGCAGTGCCGAATTCGTATTTTGTTTCTGTTTGGAAAAAAATAAACTGTTCAAATAAGTATGAATTTAATAAATGCGCTTATGATGGGGAAACATGCATACTGTTTGCTTAGAGTTTTATTTGAGTTGCGTTTAAACAGAGCGTTGGATATTATTTTTAGATTAATACTCATTCAATTGTATAAGGTTTGTTTCTAGCTCAAATAGGAGGTTTTGGCGATGTCTTGATGATGTTGTATTTTATTAAAATGAACTTGCCGCATGATATGTATCCCTTTTAACAGTTAATTGACTAAGTGGTTTATGTGTAATGATGTTCCCATCTTTGAGCTTGGTTGTATTTGTGTTGTTCACTTGCTCAGTGTCTACTCGCACATTGTTAATTTACACGATTTTGTCAATTTTGATTTCTCTTTGACCCAATTTTTTGTTTCTAGAAAGTTGAAACCCTGCTAGTCCGGGTAGCTCAAGCCCCGCCTGAGACAATGAAACTTGCACTCCATCCAATAATGAAAGCATTGATTGGCTCAGAGCTTTTGTCACATTCGGATGAAGGCATAATTGTTTCAGTTGCGTTGTGTCTCAGTGAAATAATGAGAATAACAGCCCCCCAACAACCATATGATGATGCTGTTATGAAACAAATTTTTCAGCACATTGTAGAGACATTTGAAAAGCTATCAAATATGAAGAGTCACTGCTATTCAAAGTCAGTGCAAATTATTGAAAATGTTTCAAAGGTCAGGGCATGTGTGATGCTTTTGGACCTTGAATGCGACACCTTAGTTATTGACATGTTCAAACTATTTCTCAGAATCATCAGGTAAAATGAGCTCTTTTGTTACTGTAATAACTAATAAGTGAAGTGGAAGCCCTTCTAGACTTATATATTCTGATCAATATTTTCAAATGCATAAGCTTCTAGCGATACTCTCAGTTCCTATCACTTTGTTTACATTTTCACATTTTGTTTCAAGCTCAAGCACAGAGCTTTGTAGTGCAACTATTTTACTTTTTTATTTGAGACTAAATAGGTAGCACCTTGTTTTTGTGTTATTTGGGCTTATTTTAAGTTGGACCTTGGACGAAACTTAACTTGCTGGTGGTGAATCCCATTGGCAATTGTTCACTGTTATGATTTTAAATAAGTTGTTGGGGGGCCATATAAAAAGTGCTTTATATACTGGAAGTTTTTATGCTCTAAACCGATTCTAACATAAATCAAAATATATATTGCTCTGGTATTTGAAATTGCTCAACAGTTTTATTGCGCCAGCTTTTTTTGGATGGAGGTTTACAATATTTTTAACTCTGTATTATTTTCTCCCTGATATTTTTAATTATGTATTATTGCTCAAGGTTCTCTCACACAATTGATGTATTCAAAAACATGGAAGACATCATGATTTGGATAATCAAAGAATGCGATGAAGTTTCCAGGGAGCTGTTAATGTCCCTTCTTGATAGCATCAAGAATAAAAATCAGGCAATAAAGATTTAGTCTGACCATTTTTCAAATGCGGTGTTTTAACTTATCTCTTAAGTTTTAACCCTGACTGTTTCTTTCTCAGAAAGCTTCATTTGCTTCATGGAAGCTGGGACGGAATGTCTTGAAAACATGCTCTTCCATAGTCAGACCTTATGTAGTAGAAGCAGTAAAATCAATGAGCCTGGATATTTCTCGTTATGATGTCATACTTGCCTCAATATGCCATGAAACGACAAATGGAGAAAGTCTGGTAATCATTGTTTATAGCTATTGTTTTCTCACCAACACAAGCGATTTTCCTTTTTCTCTAAGATGAAGTTTATTTCATTCTTATGGTTTGACAAGTCTGGTTTTCTTATAGCGCGGAACGTAAATCTCCAACAGTATTTTTAAGTTTGATCTTAGTTTTAACAAGTGCGCGCACGGCGAGTCCAAAAGAAAAAAAATGCCTTCCTAACTCTGGTCACACCAGGTTCCTGACTCATCGGGACAATTCATCACAGGCGTGAGGCATAAAGTCTTGGCCTCCTCTTGGAATAGGGTTGCTTAGAATCTTCCTCCTGGTTTTTTGTTTAAAAAATAGGCCAATACGTAGTAAGTTTCTTCTTCTGTCTCCTCTTGGAATAGGATCATCACCGAAAGTACAAGTTACTTCTCACCCTCTTCTTCTGCCTCCTCTATTAGTAAGGGAGGTTTGTTTTCCTTTGGTTGTTTGTCAGTCCTAGGGCAGCACATGAAGCTTTCTTTTATTTTATGGTTACAGACACATAAATGCATATGAATACACGCTCCAATATATGATCATATGCACATGTTTGTGTTTGTATTTGGCAATAGAAGTGCCACAAGTTTGTGTCAGACCTTCCAAGAATCTATGAAACTCGATTAAAAATTTATGATCTAGATTTTCCCCTTATGTATCTGCTGCACCCTTGTTTCAATAGTTCAATACCCAAACATGCTTTACAACCGAGTTTTTTTCTTTTCAACTTAGTTTGGCATATAAATATATTTTTCTAATCATACTTGATGATTACACGTTCACATAAATTATAAATTATGAATTGTTTTTGTTTTTCAATACCCCCTCCGTCCTAAAAAAAAGAATTTAGCCTGCACAAGGTCTCTCTCAGCACCCTGTCGCACGCCTTCTCGGGGTCAATGAACACCATATGTAGGCCCTTCTTCTTAGCCCTATACTTTTCCATCAGCTGCCACAAAAGGTGAATGGCCGCCATGGTCGATCGACCAGGCATGAAACGAAATTGGTTCTCAGAAATGCACATCCCCTTCCGTAGTCTCGCCTCGATGATACACTCCCAAACCTTCATGGTGTGGCTAAGGAGATTGATGCCTCTATAATTGTCGCAACTCTGAATGTCGTTCTTACCCTTGTACAGCGGTACCGTCACACTCTCCCTCCACTCATCTTTATGACGATTATAAATGGATGGAGGGAGTGTGTCTTTTATCTATGCTCAAGTTTAGTCAACTCATATATATGAAATAAGGCACTCTAAATGTTCTTTAGGCGGTGAACATGGTCACTGTAGCATTACTCAATGATGTGATCTATCTTCATCAACGGTGCTACCTTTAATCGTCTTGTAATATTGATAAGCTGTATATTCTTTTCTGTTAAGTTCAGTTAATTACCTCTAATATGCATCACATTATTAATTTTACTTGGATGTTTTCATAAATATATATGGCTGTTTTACATAGATTTATAAACCATTTGCAGATAAATGTAAGAGATGTATGGCATCATCTTGACATGTTTAAGCTTCTTGTTAATGATAAATCTGATGATACATGTAGTGGCACCCAAAGTGAAATGATTAATTACATGAAATATCATATGAAATCATTCTAGTGTTTGTTTTATATTGGTAACAATTTATACTTTGTATTTCTCTACGTGATCAGATTGAAAATGAGAACACACCCCTCACAGAAAGCCCGGTGGCAATAATGGAATCGCAACAGGAAGCCACTCCAAAACCGGTCGATACAAGTAATGGAAACTTCAAATCTGAAAGTCGATCAAAGACAAGACTCAATTGGGATCAAACTGAGCATCTAAAAGATACTGAGAGTCCAACAGATCTGCAACATCATAGTTTAGAAGGTACACAACCAGGAACAAATCTCAGCAGACGTCCAAGGAGAAGGGTTCAGAAGTCCTTGAGAAAACATGACAACAACTATGTTCATTGTAAAGTCAATGGTAACAAAAATTATTTTGACTTACCTCGTCACATGAAGGATTGTGATTGTCAATTTGTATCTTGTCTCACAATGCAGTTTTGGGGGAGTCATCCTTTCTATCAGAAGATGGAAAGCAGATAATGCCTCATATGCTTTTCCCTGTAAATAAATCTGTGACTACTCCATCAAAAGGTATTGGAAATGCTGATAAAAATTTTAGGAAAATGGGAATGCCAAAGAAAAATCAGGTGGAGCTATCTTCAGAAAAAGGATTTCAAGGGAGTACTACCAAGGCAAAACCTATGAGGGGCTCAATAAAGAAAGAGCCCTTTGTCCATAATAATGCTGAGAATTATCTTGGTACAGACATTGTAATTCACTATTATCATTCTCAAGTTAACGGTAACAAAAATTATTTTGAATTACCTCATGAAATGAAGGAGCAGGAATATTACTTTGTAGCCTTTGTCAAAATGCTGTTTCAGGGGAGTCACCCTTGTTATCAGAAGATGGGAAGCAGACAACGCCTCTTATGTTCTCCCTTGAAATTAAAGGCACTGCTCAACCAGTTACTACTCCATCAAAAGATAGTGGAAATGCTGTTAGAAAATTTAGGAAAATGGGGCGGCCAAGGAAAAATCAGGTGGATCTATCTTCAGAAAAAGGATATGAAGGGACTACTACCAAGGCAAAAATTAAGAGGGGCTCAAGACAAAAAGAGCCAACTGTCCGGTATGACGATGAAAACACTCTTGGCAGAAACATTGTAATTAAAACGGAAGGAGGAGATTGTAGTGCGCATATTTCTTTCCTTCACAAAAATGATAATATCTCTAAGAAGACTGTCAAAACTAACTCATCAGGCAAGAAGGCTATGCGCAATAAAAAGGTAACTTTTTGCTTCATCTTTTTGGCTTGCTAAGTATACAATTATATATAATTACATCCGTTCACTTGTGTCACGCCCTCAAAATGATTCATTCGGAGAGATTTGGGTGCAAAATGATGCATCCACTGCTTTGTCATTCTATATGTCATTGAGAAATCAATCATATCCTTTTTTCCCTCCAATTGTACATTTAGAAGCAGCATTTCTTTTATAAAGCTGTCCATTGCAAATGGAGCCAAAGTTGTCATTCTTGGCAATGTTTTAGCTTCTGTTAAATAGCCGACTAAATCAAAATGGCCAATTAAACTTCTCTTACTTTCTATGAAGTTTTGGGAAGAAAATGCAACAATGCATCAAGTGTTACAAAAACAGCCTCTATCTTATTAGTATGGTAAGGTTGTCTTCATTTTGACTCCAGACCCCAAAGTTGGGATTGTACTGGGTTGTTTTTGTTGTTGTTTGATATATTTGATAAATTGAATGAGAATAATCTATAGGCAGTCAAGGAAAATACTTCATAGTTAAGCTTGTACCTTATTGTATTTGCTGATGCTATATCATTTTGACTTGAGTACTAATATTCATTTACAGAGAGCTTATTAGCCTAAACCAAGATTAGGTTTCAAATTTAATTCAGGATACTAAGGTATTTGTTGTAATCAAGGTGGCTCAGGCTGAAGAACTGGCTGGTGCAAAGATCAATGTTTGGTGGCCTTTGGACCATCAGTAAGTGCTTTGGAGTTTAGAATGATAAATGTCATGTCCAAATGGGACCTGGTCATGACATTTTTCTGTTAAATAATAAACATAGGCAGAAGATCTTCAATTTCTAATACCTTGTCATTATTGACTTTGTGGACTTTATGAGCTTGACCTCTAAGTGCAAGCTAACCAATCCTATGGTGAATATGTGATACTTCTATTTGATTCATAAGCTGGTCTTTTGATTTGTTCTGGCTAACACAGTGGAGAAGTTCTAGTCATCCTAAGATGGGGTATTAGGATGTCTTGAAGATAGTAATAAGAACACTCTTTGCTATATGTTATGTTCATCTTCATTTCTTTTTGTGGTAGGTTTTATGAGGGAAAGGTAGCTTCTTTTGATCATGTGAAGAAAATGCACAAGGTATGTCAATTGACATGCTGTTATTTTAATTATTTCTTCTTCACTTTGAGTGAATAATCTTCCCATTTTGGAATGCCCCAGTATAATGTTAGTATTTTTTTATGTTTACACAAAATAAAATGAAAAGAAGAGCTACTTGGTTGGATACGGGCTTTGCCCCTCTCCGACCCCACCCACCCATTGAAAAAACAAAATTACTTTAAAATATCGACCCGCAAAAAAAACCATTCTATCTGGGTGGTGGATATTTTAAAACAATTTTACTTTTAAGTATCAATTGTATCCACAATTTTGGATAAGCAAATTTTTGATGCAATTGATGATATATACTCCTTCCGTCCCAAAAAACTTTTCCTCTTTCACTTTTTACTTGTCAAGACTAAGGAATCTGGTCAACATGAATAAATAGTTGACTTGCCAGCTGTCCCAATCATTCAACTATTTTCCTTATTTTTCGCTGTTTTAGTTTGAGTCAGTTTTAGATATTTTTGTATATATATATATGGTACTGTGTAGAAGGATGGGGACGAGGGAAATGGATTGGTATCACGGTTGAATTTTCAATGCAGATGCTTCTGATTTTTTTATTCTTTTTTTCATTCTTGAGAAATTTATCATGGTATCAGAGCCATGTTTGGTGAATTCTGAAGAAATTTGTTTTTTTTTCTGAATCTCTGTTCTCCGATCTTCGGCTTCAATGGCGGAAGGAATTTCTTCAAATCGCACTACAATCGATATACACAGCGAGCTCTATCTGCATCCAACGGAATCACCTAGTTTTCTTCTTGCTTCACAGAAATTGGACGGAGAAAACTTTTCTCAGTGGAAGAGATCGGCTGAAATAGCGTTAAGTGCAAGGAACAAATTAGGTTTTGTTAATGGAACCACCAAGGCACCTGAATCGACTTCTCCGCTGTATTCACAATGGATCAGATGCAACAACTTGGTGATATCATGGATATTGCACTCGGTGGATCCAGCAATTGCAAACAGTGTGTTGTACTGTGAAACTGCAGAAGAAATATGGAAGGATCTGGACGAACGTTTCAATCAATCAAATGCTCCAAGGTTGTTCCAATTACACAAGGAAATGGTAACCTTGGTTCAAGGCTCAGATTCTGTAAGTGAGTATTTCACCAAACTCAAGGGATTGTGGGATACCTACATGACATTGGTGAGTTTACCACACTGCAAGTGTGAGACTGCTGAGAGTTACACTAAATTACTTCAAAATCAGCAGCTTATGCAGTTTCTCATGGGGCTGAATGATTCATTCAAGACTGTTAGAGGAAACATCTTGATGATAAGGCCTTTGCCAAGTTTAAACCAAGCGTATAAACTCATCAGTCAAGAGGAGACTCAGAGAGATTGTACTAATGTGAGTCCTTTAGCCTATGAATCCAGTGCTTTGGCATCCTTGCATCATAATTCATCCCAGGCTTCTAGCAGGCCTGTGTTCGGGACTACTCCTAGTGGAAAAAAATCAAAGTACTTCTGTCAACATTGCAAGGTTTATGGACATTCTATTGAAAGATGCTTTAAAATACATGGATATCCTAAAAACAGTAAGCCTGGTAATTCTTCTTATGATCAAGGTTATTCTCAAGGGAAAAAGGTGGCAGGACATGTGTTTTCTGAAGGCAAAATTGGTTTGAACTCTACGACTACTACTCCCATTTCAGGATCTAAATCTGATGAGTTACCTGTATCCTTGACATCTTCTCAGTACAGTCAGCTCATTGCTCTTCTAAGCAAGGAAAATGTTCACAACAATGACCATGATGGCTCTCACGATTTTCTTTCCAGTCATATGGCTTCTAGTGTTCATTTAGCAGGTATTGGTTACTGTTTCTTTTCTCCTGGTGACAAAACTGACTGAAATATTGATAGTGGAGCCTCAGACCACATTAGTCCTCATCTAACCAATTTCTCTTCTTACAAATCAATTTCTGAACCTTGTTTCATAACCATCCCTAATGGTCAAAGAGCAAAAGTTTTACACAAAGGAACTGTAGTGTTACAAAATGGCATAACATTGCTTAATGTCCTACATGTTCCAGATTTTCACTATAACCTGCTCTCTGTCCAAAAGTTAGTTGCACAAATGTCTTGTTCCTTCGTGTTTCACCCTTCTTATTGCTTGATTCAGGACCATCTGAAGAAGAATTCAGTGCTGGTTGGTAAAGAAAGTGGTGGACTGTATTTTGTGCAGCAGTGCCCACCTTCCTCTTCAGTTTCTCATGCTTCATTTCATTCCTCTGTTCCATGTATATCCAACTCTGAATTGTGGCATTGTAGATTGGGTCATTTACCTTTCAATAGGATAAAGTGCATTACGCAATTGTCTTGTATTGATTCTAGCTCATCTTCTATATGTCATATTTGTCCTAGAGCTCGAATGCACAAATTACCTTTTCCTTCAAGTTCAATAAAATCTGTTTCCATTTTTCAACTCTTGCATGTAGATATTTGGGGACCATACAAAACCCCCACTTATGCTGGTCATAGATTCTTCTTGACCATTGTTGATGACTTTTCTAGATTAACATGGGTTCAACTTCTCTCACATAAATCCAATGCTTTCACTGCCCTCACTAGTTACATCATTCATATTGAAAAACAGTTCAATGTTTCTGTAAAAATCATTCGTTCAGATAATGGGAAAGAGTTTGATGATGTTTCTGCCCAATCTTTTTATACTGCTCATGGAATCTTACATCAAACTTCTTGTGTTGAGACACCCCAACAAAATGGAGTTGTAGAGCGAAATCACAAGCATTTACTTGAAACTGCTAGAGCTTTGTTTTTCCAAGCCAAACTTCCAACTAAATATTGGGGTGATTGTGTGTTAACAGCCTGTTACTTGATTAATAGATTCCCCCTCTCCATTCTTCAAGACAAAACCCCATATGAGATTGTGTTTCATAAATCTCCTACCTACCTTCATCTCAAATCCTTTGGGTGTTTATGTTTTGCAAGTACTTTATCTTCCAATAGAACCAAATTTGCACCTCGTGCTGTCCCATGTGTATTTTTGGGTTATCCTTTTCACAAAAAGGCTTACAAACTTCTTGACCTTCACACAAGACAAATATTCTACAGTCGAAGTGTCAAATTCCATGAGAACTTTTTCCATTCCATCATCTTTCTTCCTCCCCATCTCATATTCTTCCCACATTACCTTCTGATTTGTGCAATATTTTCTCTTATCCAACCACAGATCCTCCTTCATCTCATACACCTTCCCCAACTTTCCAGTCTTCTCCAGCGTCTCCTTCTTCAACAGATTCTGTCTCTCCTCTCCTACCATCTTCTTCCCCTATTCCACCAAGAATCTCTACCAGAACTCGTCGACCTCCCTCATATTTACAGCACTATCACTGTCCTACATTAAGACAATCATCTCATTCCACTAGTCTTCAAGCTCATTGGTGCAATTTTGTTAATCTTGACACCATTTCTCCTTTTCACACAGCTTTTATCACCCATTTGTGCTCTTACTCTGAACCCACTTCTTTTTTTGAGGCTTCCCGTGATCCACGATGGGTTGTTGCCATGTCTAAAGAAATAGACGCCTTACAAGCTAATGAAACCTGGGAACTTGTTGATCTTCCTCCTGGAAAGAAGGCTCTTTCTAGCAAATGGATTTACAAGGTCAAACTCAAATCTGATGGTAGCTTAGAAAGGTTTAAAGCTCGACTCGTTATTCAAGGCAACCACCAAAAGCATGGTATTGATTATACTGAAACCTTTTCCCCAGTGGTTAAGATGTCTACTATCAGGTGCCTCATTGCCTTAGCTGCCTCTAAGCACTGGGATCTTTTTCAGTTAGACATCAACAATGCATTTCTTCATGGAGAACTCACTGATGAAGTATACATGAAAGCTTCTTTAGGTTTTCCTAAACCTACTAATCAGGTGTGTCGCCTTAAGAAGTCCCTTTATGGTCTTAAACAAGCAAGTCGACAGTGGTTCACCAAGCTTTCTAGTGCTTTTCACTGTCAAGGCTACACTCAATCTAAAAGTGATCCTAGCTTATTCATCAAATATACTACTGGTCACATTACTTTAGCTGCAGTTTATGTGGATGACATTCTTGTCACTGGCTCAGATCCACATTCTATTACCTCTCTTAAGCAGTTTCTTGATGATAATTTTACCATCAAGGATTTGGGCATTGCACACTATTTCCTTGGTATTGAACTGACCTATACTTCTGAAGGTGTTGTTCTATCTCAACGCAAATTCACTCATGATCTTCTCACAGAGCACAGGTGCCTCCGTGATAAACCCGTGAAAACTCCCCTTCCTCAACATGTTAAGTTTCAACATGGAGAAAGCCCTTTATGTTCAGATCCCACAGTTTACAGAAGTTTGGTAGGCAAACTCAATTTTCTTACACATACCAGACCAGACATCTCCTATTCTGTGCAGATTCTAAGTCAATTTATGCAAGCTCCTGAAGAACATCATATGCGAGGGGCTCTTCATCTTCTGCACTACTTACTAGGCAGTATTGGTCATGGCATTCTTATGAAAGGATCTGACAACTTGTCTCTTCATGCCTTTTCTGATTCAGATTGGGCTTCTTGTCCCTTTTCAAGAAGGTCTGTTACAGGTTACATTGTTCTTCTTGGGGGTTCCCCTATCTCTTGGAAATCCAAGAAACAAAGTACAGTATCCAAATCTTCTTCTGAAGCAGAATACAGAGCCATGTCTCAAGTGGCTTCAGAAGTTACATGGTTGGTTAGATTGTTGGAGGAACTTCAAGTGCGCAACCTGAAACCCATTACTCTACATTGTGATAACCAATCTGCCCTGCACATTGCTAGAAACCCAGTCTTCCATGAAAGGACCAAACACATAGATATTGATTGCCACTTCACAAGAGAAAAAGTCCTTGAAGGCCTCATTGACTTGTCTTATTTGCCCACTGCCAATCAACTTGCTGATGTTCTCACCAAAATTCTTCCTGCAGAGCAGTTTCAACAGCTTTTACTCAAGCTGGGCATGGTTTCACCACCACCCAGCTTGCGGGGGGGTGTCAAGACTAAGGAATCTGGTCAACATGAATAAATAGTTGACTTGCCAGCTGTCCCAATCATTCAACTATTTTCCTTATTTTTCGCTGTTTTAGTTTGAGTCAGTTTTAGATATTTTTGTATATATATATGGTACTGTGTAGAAGGATGGGGACGAGGGAAATGGATTCGTATCACGGTTGAATTTTCAATGCAGATGCTTCTGATTTTTTTTTTTCTTTTTTTCATTCTTGAGAAATTTATCATTACTTGTCCCAAAAAACTTTTCAATTCAGTCTAAATGGGCATAAATCTAACCTAAGCTACCTCAACTCCCTTCTACACCCTCCCCATTTAGACATTTCCCAAACCCTACTCATTTCAATTATTGCCGTTTCCCCTTGGTCAAACTTTTACAGCTTCCCCTCCCAAAAGTTTGGTGTAATCAAACATCAATTGACGCCGTTTCCCCTTGTTCAAACTTTGCCAGTTATCATTTTCAAAGAAAACGTGTACTTTATTGAATTACACATTATTATGATTTGGTGACTCTGATACACATACTGTTGCACTATTGTGAATGGCTTTTATTATCAATATAATCAATGAAAAAGGCAGGGTTTTATATTTATGTTTTTTGGGTAACCCAGAAAGTGAGGTTTATTGGTTTGAGATGTTGTAATTCAGATTTCAGAAGCTACTAAAACTACCCAAGTGTTAAATAAAACACGGAGGGATTTTAGTTTATTAATTATAGAGATAACATTATTGGCTCTTCCCTCATTTTCCCGTAGTAATTGTCATAACTCATACAACTAATGGCTTGAGAAACATACCAAATTCATCAATCTGCCTTTCAGCTCCAAAGACATTCTGACACTTTTACCATAAACAATCCCAATTGTTCTACAGTGATGCAGAAAACATGCCTAACTGACATATAAGGTCCAAGCTTAGGCTAATTCCAAATTAGTTTGTTACTTAAGTTTGAAAGTCTGCTTCTTACTCTAAAGGGATTCTAGAAATAGTGCTTAGGACAACATATTAATAAAAATGAGTATTGAAGCCCAGAGGAATTGGAAAGTAATTAGTTACTCCCTCTGTCCTAAAACACACTATAACACACTTTTCCCGGTTTGACCGGGGCTCATTTTTAAGAAAGTGTGAAAAATGCTCTGACTTTCCAAAAATGCCACTTAATCCTTCTTTTCTACAAACACATACCAATCTTCTCAAGAACCTTTCTACTAAATTCTTTCTTATTCATCTCTTTAAATTTCCTTAGGGAAAAGCTCAGATTTCTCCATCCCGATGATCAAGACATCATCATCTTTTCCGTTTACCAAATTTGAGTGGCATGTTGAAAACGGAGAAGGGAGAGGAAGAAATTTGGATGGGAGAGGGTGTGAAGTAAATTAGATGGGTGAGTGGGGGAGTAACTTTTGAGGGGTAGGAATGTTTTTTAATGCTTCAGTACTTTTCATTTTAAGTAATGTGAAGAAAGTTTTATGACGGTGAAAACAGGAAAGTGGCAAGAAAGTTTTTGGACAGGGGGAGTAATTATTGAGTTAATTACTTCTGGAAGCCTTCTGCCTGCTGTAAATTGATCTCAGAAATTGCAAATTAATTATTTCTTCCGTCAGCTGCCTGATGTTAAATTTAAGTGAACCAATTGGTTTTCAAACCTCACCTGAAGTTATCATTTTCTTTTGCTGCTCCTTGGTTGGATCATTTGCGCATGTTTTACTTTTGGGGAAGTGTGTGTTGAGACCTGCGAATCTGTTGCTAGTAGGATCTCTGTGCAGGAGTGTACATATTTCATGGTAACCTCCAAGGACTTCCAGATTTTCCTCATCTAGGGCTCTTTGGGTAGTGATTTTCAAGACCTATTATTAGTCTGGCGAAGTCGAGAAACCAAATGTATACAAAAAAGAGTAAGTACTTCGGACATATATGACTTCAGCATAAAATTATGTTTCACCAACAAATCCCTACACCTTTTTCACAACTACAATTTCCCAGGAATTTTTTCAAAACATAGTCTCTTTGCCTATGGATGCCACTTTATTTTAGTTCAAGCCTCAGTAAAGAGGAAAAGAGACGATGAGATGTGGACCTTTTTTAGCTACGCATCCCTTAGAAGAGAGCTTACATTTGTTTGACATTTTGTAATATTGTTGTAGGCTTGTAGAAGTTGTAGACTTGTAGCAACTGTCATCCTTTTATTGCTAGTTTGCTACCTGTAAGTAGATTCATCTGTTAAACTCTCGCGTGTTCCACTCCTTCGTGGTGTTACTTTTGTAGGTTGTATATGATGACGGTGAAGAAGAAATTTTGAATCTTGGCAAGGAACGGTGGGAAATGATTAAAGAGCTTCAACCTGATGAAGTATGCTATACTTTTCTTATAGTGTATTTTTCCCTTTTGTAAATTATGGGCTTTTCTTTTGGTAGTTAATAATATAATATATTCGAATCATAATTCCTTTGGTTCACAGGACTGTGAAGCAGCTTCTCATGTAACTCCTGTTTCATCAGCTATGTATAAATATTTTGACCCACTTCTCAGTGGTGCGCTTGTGGGTGTGGACATGCCCTTCTAGTTTCTCCCTTATATTTTTTTAGTTACTTCCACCCTTTTTTTGACATATCCCGTTCTGCATTAACACATCTTGTAAGCTAGGAATCGTAAGATGCACATTAACTCTTGGGAGGCAGCGTTCCCACTTCTTGAGAATTTCTAGGATAACTATTTCCTAAATTGGAAGATAATGTTTCTCACTCTCAGTGTCTTTAGTTGTTACGTTCCATGCAATATAGCTTAGAAGCATTTGAATAGATTTAGTATTGCATTCCATACTCATCCTGCTAATAATTTCTGGTTTTTGAATGGTGAATTTAATCAGGGAGATGAGGAAGAAAAGAAAAGGGAAATCTCCAAGAGAACAAACCAACAACATTTCAGAGACAAAAAGGTTGGTGGGTTTAGCTCCAGCTGTCTGAAGAACAGCTCTGAATTTCGGTACTCTTTATTACAAACGTGTGCCGTTGTTCTTCAGGTCTAGACGCAATGTGAAACAATGCACTACAGTTAAAGTCGAGCAGAACAACACAACGAGGCAAGATGTGCTTGTGGAGGACGAATAACCATTGTTCTTAAACCCCTAAACAGGAAAATTTGGTGAGAATGGGTATGTAAACTCCTTGTTCTTTGTCTTGCATTGGGCCTGTGAATATTCTTGATTTCGCTGTAGGGGTATTCTTGTTTAGTTTGAGTTGACACTTGAAAGATAGCATTCTGTTATTTTAGCGTGGTGCTTCAAGCTATTCTTCAAAGATATCATAAAGGTATAAAATGGATATGAAATTTAAGGGTACCTGTGAGCTAGTAATGTTAACAGGGCATCTTGCAAATGTGTATTCGCTTTCTTAGGTATGGGACACAGTTCCCATGGACTCGCGACACCTACCCTTATTAAGGGTACATGAGCAATTTTTTTTGAATGCTATTGACTCTATTCCAAGGTAGTATTTGTTCATACTATTCTCAATCTAATGACGCACAAAGAGCCAATGCTTCTGATGGGGCTCGAAACTAGGTAAACTTCCGCATGAATCCCGGGGACTGGGCTTTCTACCACTCAAGCCAGGTGAGAAGTTCAAAGGGTACACAAGTAATTTGAAATACACAATACTTCAAAATTAAAATCAGGACAAGTTACCAAGTCGAACCTTCCGCCACTCAAATCTTGATCAGTATTTCAGTTCAAACTTGACTTTATCGTGGTGAATTGGTGATGTGAGATACTTGCTCTATAAGCCATGTATCAAAAGAAAGTTAGAAAAAGAATTTCTCGATCATGTGGGCTTTATAGTATTGATTTTCATCGTCATTGGGGTCCACGTTGATATAGATTATGTGTATTTTACTATCAAAATTCTGAAAAAAATTCAATTTAACTTTGATGATGACTATGTAGTATGTAGAGCTTCATTTTTCTCAATGAAAAGGGTATTTGTTGGCTTGTAGAAAGGACTGAAACAGTTCTGTGTGTGATTGGATTTTATAGTGGAAACGACTAGCTTGGAAGTAAGCTAAGAAATGCTCGTAACAGGTCTAAGGCACATGTGGAGGGTATTTCAATAACAAAGGCTTAAAGACTTGTGCTAGAAATGTTCTAAAGACACACCTATAAGGAAATGACTAATCCAATGTGTTTGCAATGCTCATTAGATAACGATGAGAATGGGAGGGATGTTGATGTAAAATGTTATCGAAGTATGATTGGTTGTTTACTTTATTTATTTACTAGTAGATCTGATATTATGTTTAGTGTTTTTATGTTTTCAAAATATAAAGCGATCCCCAAGGAATCTTATTTGAGTGATGTCAAGTGTATCCTTAAGAATATAAGGAAATTTAAATTGGGGATTAGGTACCAAAAATTCAACATGCTCCCCCTTGTTTGGTATTCAGATTCTGGTTTTTTTGGATGCAAAATGGATAGAAAGAGCACATCTTGTATATGTCGCCTTTTCAGTTTTTTACTTGTTTTTAGGTTTAGTTAAAAACAAGTTAGCGTTGCTTTATTCAACCTCGAGACTGAATAAGTAGTGTGTAGTAATTGTTGAGCTCAACTTATTTGGATGAAACAATAATTGTTGGACTATGGCTTGTACATATCACATTCATATTCAGATTGATAATATGAGTGCCATAAGTATTTCGAAGAAACACGTTCCTCAATCTCATACTAAGCACACAAACATTTGTCAACATTTTATTTCAGACCATTTCTAAAAAGATGATGTCACTATATAATTTGTCAACACAACTAAGGCCCCGTTCCGTTCAACTTATTTTTTTCTTATTTTTTATTATTCTTATTAAAATCAAATCAGATTAGATCGAATCAGATCAGATCAGAATGAATCAAATCAGATCAGACCTAATCAAATCAGATCAGAACGAATAAGATCAGATCAGATTCAATCAGATTCGATCATACCAGATACAATCAGATCAGATCAGATCCAATCAGATTAGACCAGGCCAGACCAAATTCCATAAAGAATTATTATTATTATTATTATTATTATTATTATTATTGTTATTGTTATTGTTGTTGTTGTTGTTGTTGTTATTATTATTATTATTATTATTATTATTATTATTATTATTATTATTATTATTATTATTATTATTATTATTATTATTATTATTATTATTATTAGGAGGTGATTAGGCAGGATTTAGGACTTCTTACCCTGACTGAGGATATGACCTTTGATAGGAACCTTTGGAGAACTAGGATTAGAGTAGCTGGATAGGAGCTCGGTACTGTAGAGGTTGTTTATAGTGTGTTGTGTTTGTTTGGAATCTTTTGCTATTGCTTGTACTTAGTGCTTGTATTTGGTGTTTTACCCGTGCTCTACTGTGCTCCCTTCCATATTTTTGTGCAGGTTGAGTCAGGGGTCTCTTGGAAACAGTCTCCCTACTTCCGAGTAGGGGCAAGGTCTGCGTACACACACCCTCCCCAGATCCTACTGTAGTGGGATTCAACTGGGTTGTTGTTGTTATTATTATTATTATTATTATTATTCTTAAAAATGAAAAAGAATAAACTTTAGAAACAAGTTAAATAGAAAATTGAGAAATTAATCATTAATGATTAGACGTTGGAAAAATTATTTTTAAATTACATTGACAATGTCAATCTAATTCTACTTTTAAAATATGTTTTTATTGCTACCTGTAATTTGAGTTTCTAAAGTTTTGATCTTTTATAACGATATGATGAGATATTTTAATAAAAATACTATATCTTCTCTATATTGATTATATATAAATTAAATATTTATTCTAATGTATATATAAAGTCATTATTAAAATATTAAATCAATATTCTTATTTCACAAACAATAATCATCAAATTTTTTTATAATAATGTAATTTTATACTTACTAATAAGATTATATATTTAATTGATTAAAATAAAATAATTTTTTATTAATATTTTATTTTTTATAACTAATATAATATTATACTTAATAGTAATGTTAAAAGTTTGCAATAATATTTGAGTTTAGTTTAATAACTAAACTTAAAATTTAGTTTAGTATTAATTAGAGATTAGATTCAATCAGATCAGACCAGATCAGATCAAATCCAATCAGATAAGAGCAGATCTGATCAGATCCAATCAGATCAGATCAGATCAGAAGTACAAAAAATCAGTTTAGATCAACAAAATAAGTTGAACGGAATGGAGCCTAAATAGTTGGCCGACATTTTATTATGACCATGAGAGTTTCATTAGAATTAGAAAATAGAAATGCACTAGAAATTATTTCAATTTTCTAAGAACTTGTATCTGTGTACCTTATTACTCCTTTCGTCCAAGTTGAAACTTCCCGTTTTAGGCTTTTAGCTTGCGTGACTTTTAAGATGTAATGAAAATGTGTTGACTTTCCTAATTTTCCCTTTCATTTACACTATGTTTGGTTCAAGGTATTTGAAATGGAAACGAAAAGAAAATGAGATGGAAAATAGTTTTTCTTGTTTGGATAGAGAGGAAAAGAAAAGAAAAGTGGAAGGAAAAATGAAATGAGAAGACAAAATATACTAAGAGTAGGGAAAATCAAAATCCTTCCATTTTGGTGAGGAAAATGAGAGAAAATCATTTTCTTTTTTTTTCCTTTCAAAATCTTTGAACCAAACATAGTGTTAATTTATCCGTTCTCCAATTCTTTCGTTTTGAAAATGCCCGGATCTGAAAGCTTCGACGTGGCCCATTTGCATTTGCCCCTTCGCTGCTGGATCTTGAAGCTTCGCTGATGTCCTACTTCACTCTTTCAAGGGAGAGTAAATGGATAGAAATAGAAGGGGTAAAAAGGTCATTGTAGAAGTTTTATTTCTATTTGAGGAACAGAAAGAAATAAATGGGGTTGCTAACAGGGAAAGTGAGAAGAAATATATGGGACATAGAGAGTATTAATTTATTTCTAAAGAAATGTTACTGACCTTAAAATTAGAGCAGTTTGAAATCTTTTTTGCAGGGCCCAACTCCACTCACTTTTCATATCCTCACAAAAATGATGCATTTCCTGAGTAAATTTATAGTTTCATTCGGACCTTTTACAAAAAAAATTTGAAATGAATTTTGAGAAACTTGGATTTAAACTAATCTGATCTGAACTTATCTGATTTGATCAGCTTATATAATTTGATTTGAACTTATCTGATTCATAAGAACAAGTAATAACAACAACATTACCCCAGTACCTCAACGGCTCCTGCCCATTGTGGGGTATTGGGGGATGTACGCAGTCTGACCCCTATGCTTAAAACATAGAGCGACTGTTTTAGATGACCAATGATGAGCGTTGAAAGTTGCATTGACCAACTGCTACTTCACAATCGTAAAAAGCACAGACAATAAAGAGTTAATTTGTTTTATTCCATCATACCCCAAAGCCAAAAATAGTGAATCTTTGGCTCCACAAGTAAATAGGAAAAAAATAAGAATAAGTGATAAATAAAAAAATAAGCTGAATAAAAGATGACCTTATGTGTGAATCTAAAATTCCTAATAATAACCATATTTAAGTCTTCCACATGCATATGGACATTGTCTCAACTATTGATGGCATTTCTTTGATCTCCGATGCCTATGGAGTTTAAATTTGGAAATGGAGACAATGTCGAAGTTTATCTGTCTGATGAGGAGAATATGTTCCTTGGAGTACAAAAAGAGCATGCTTTGGTGTTATTATTGTGTGATAGGAAGTTTAGCACTAAAACATAATGACTTTCTCTAAATAGCACTACATATGTTTTTTTCCCCAATGTAGCACTTATAGTCATTATCCATTAGTCATTAAAGTAAATGTTTGCCACTAATGGTTATTATGGACACTATTAAGTTTATTTAGAGAAGAAAATAATCTAAGTGCTATTTAGAGAAATGACTTAAATTATAGTGATATTTAGTGCAAATATTTCAAAAGTCTTTGGGGTCCAATGTGTCGTCTAGCGCATAGTTTTAAAAAACAGACCAGACCGGCCGGTTCGGACCGGGAACCGGCGAACCGGTGAACAAACCGGTCCGGTCCGGGCCAAAAGACCGGATCTGCTACGACCCGGCTTGGACCGGTAAAAACCGGTACGAAGCGCCAGAAAAACCGGAAACCGGGTTCTCTTTTTTTTAATTTGCGAAAATCCTCCAAATGACACCATGCAAGGATTCGAACCCCAGATCTCCCAATATCTATATCCGCCTAAACACCACCTTAGCTAGTGCCCTCTTGTGTCATTTATTGCATAAAGTAGAAATATATAAAATATATCCTGATAAAAAT